CAATTCGTCAAATTAAAAATTACCAATGACAACAATTTGAGCTGTCACCTCTCCTCCATTCTCCTTATCCATATCCTAGCTCTAGACAAACTCAAGACTCGTTGCTTAGTCTCTCTGCCCTAAATTAAACAATCAAATTTAATTTATATATTTAAATATTAATTACAAAGGTAATTAATTTCATATTCGATAATACTGATTGGGATACCAAAGTACCGATTGGGATAACGAAATACTTAGAAATTGGAATTGGGATACCGAAATTATTTAGGGATTGAGATTGGGATTGATTTTATGGTGTAATTCGATATTCGGGATTTCGGTATTTGGTATTGGAATACTGATACCGTACCGACTTCCACCCCTAGTTACGGATATGTATGGGTAGGTATTGATGGTTTAGTGGTTAGGATACAATCTATTGATGATGGCGTTATGGGGTATATGGTTATGATTGTGATTGGAGTTAGTTACAAGTCTAGTCATGACAAAATATATTAATAAACAAAATCATAACTCATAAGATCAAGTTTGTTATTAATATATGTTCATGAATCAAACGAATTACCATTAGGGTATAAGGCATTGATGTTTAGGGTATACGATATTGGTTGGAGTTTCTCAATTTTTGTTTAAAATATATGTTTTACAATACTCTTTAAGTTGCGGTTATATTAGAATAATTGGATAAAAAATTAAAATGTTAATATCACCATAACTATTAGCCTGTATACTTTACCCCTCCTAAACCCTAAGTCCTTCATCCAAACTACCAACCTTCTACATCAATCTATCCACTTGGCATAATCACTACAAACTCCACTAATAACAATCGTTCGCATCATAGAAATACTCATGCTAATCCCCATAAACTCCGTTTCGACCCTCGGAGCCTTCAGAAACCTTGATGGAAGATTTGGCACTATTCATGTTTTCTTTGCCTGGGGTTCTCAAATCGAGAAACACATGATTTCAGCACATTTAGGGTCACATTTCATGGGTTCGACGAAGATTTGGCCATTTCACAAGTCGGTAGCTTAGGAAATCGCAAAAATACGATTTTATAATTAACAAGCAAACTAATTACCATAGTTAAATATACTTTTCGTAGTAAAAATAACATATTTATAAATTATAGAATTAGTGAGCACATTGAACAAATTATATGATTAAGTATGATTTATTTTTTCAATTTAATTACAAATATAATCTATTATAAATTTAATATCCTAATATAATGTAATTAATCTATGAAGTATTTTTAAGTTCAAAATATTACTTCCATAATAACCTCCTTGTTCTCATTGTCCAGTAGACTAAGATGACTCGTCATTTGAACGTCTAACAACGCGCAACACGTTCCACCTCTACGAGTATGGAGTAATTAAGTAACAAATACATTACTCATTGACGAAACATTATTGACGAAAATGAAACATCATTCCTAAAAGTAATGTATAGTGAAAAAATTGACATGCCCTCGCTAATTTTTGTCATTAATAGTTATCTTTACATGACTCATTGACGAAGCATTATTGAAGAAAGAGGAATATCATCCCTATAAGTGATATTAGCGTCGGAATTTATCGGCACTCGCTAATTTTGTCACTACAAGCAGTCTTTACTGACGACGCCTAAGCTTTGTCGGAAAACACAGTGTTTTGATGAAACAATACCAACGACCAAATTTTATTCGTAGCAAATAACCATGACGCCAATTTTTCCCTCCAAAAAGATTATTGTCTGTTACGACAATGACTATGGTTTGTCACAAATAAATAACTCGTTGATGAAACAATATTGACGAAAGAGGAATATCGTCCCTAAAAGTGATTTTAAGCGACGAAATTGGCCGGCCATTGCTAATTTTTGTCACTAATGGCACACTTTTTTGTAGTGGGAGATTACCCTCTACCTAGGTTAAAATAGCATAAGGCATTGAAATGCACAAACACAATCAATCTTCATGAAAATACCTCATAACTTTGTATTAAAATACACCCCACACACTAATCATTCCATCCATACAAACATTCACATTATTATAGCTAGGGATTACACAAACCCAAGTGAAAAGAGAAACTACTCCATGCTAGGTAAGGAGAAAACACAAGGGAGAAGAAGGGAAACCAATCTTGGAGATGCTAGCCTTTCTCCTTGTGGTGTAGTGATCCTCCTTTGGGGAGGAAATTCCCAAAACTTTGCTTGGAGTTGAACCCTAACATCTTCTCTTCTTTGGTTCATCAATTTCTCTCTCTAGAAAGCTGAAGAAAAAAAGTTTCTCACACTAGGTCTCGCCCCATTTTCCTTCAGCTCACCCTCCTTTTATACCTAGGTCGAGGACAGTTCATGGTCCTAGTTCACGAACAAGAATAGGGGTGTTCAAATGGTTACCATGGTTATTACCAAACCAAATAAGGCTAAATTTCATTAACCATGGAATACAATATCATAACCAAACCATCCAAACTAATACAACAACCAAATTAACGAAACTAAAGTTTAATCGGTTAACCAGATTAACCAATATAAAATCACATTATCATTAAGTGATAAAATTTTTGGTTAATTTATCAATTCACAATTTATATAATGAATAAAACATAACAATCAACACTTGGTTATAGTTGACCTTTAACATAAATACATGCAACTAAGACAATTATCCTACGGTTAGTATAGAAGTATTCACCTAGCAAAAATTTATCACAATGATATGGGTTAATGAATTGTTGTGTTTGTTTGAATTGACTTAGTATTTTAGCAATTTTCATAGGCAGAAAAGGACCTTGCTTTCAAGTTTTCATCCAACATAATGTATGAGATTTATCTAAATTAGGCGTTCATATGTTGTGGTCTACACTCTACATATACAAATATACATTATAGGAACAATATCAAGCTTTATATTTTATGAGTCTAAAAGGGATGAACGTTTAACTCTTGAGTGGTTATTCAAAGTATTAAGTATGTGTATATAACAGATATATGGCTAATTATTTATCTGGTTAATTTTGTTTGACTGGTTAGGAGTGTCTGAAACCAAACCAAACCACCTAAACCAAACAAGCTAAAAACTTTAATCAAACCAAACCAATTATCCAAATTAACCAAACCAAATTATCCAAATAGTACTTGTTAAAACGGTTACCATGGTAACCACACCGTTTGAACACCCCTAACCAAGAACATCCTTTATGGACCGTGATGTCGAGCAAATCCGCACCATTTCACTTAGTATGTTCACGGTTTGTGGATTTGGTTCACGGCCTTAGCGACCGTGAACTGACTAGGATCCAGTGAGGTGTGCATTCCGCTTCTAGACTTTTGGCACTTTACGGTATGTGGCTTTGGTTCACAGGCTTGACACTTCACAGCAAAGTATAGTGCAAATCATGCCAAGATATAGCTAGAAGATTTATTTGGATTTTTTTTTTTGAAATTTTTATAAAATAATATTTGAAATCTGAGACTATCAATCCAAATAATTTCGTCAAAAGATTTTGGAAATAAATTTGAAAATTCTCTTAGAAAATTTGTCAAAAATATGGGAGCATGTATTCTTAAAAGTTTGCCATGGTTTTTGGATGTAATTGGAGTTTACGATCGATGATCAAAATAGGGGAAACTTGCATTTATCATAGTGCAAATTTCACGCAAAATACTCAAGATACTAATCAAACGAAACCGCAATTCAAGATTGTAAAGCACCATTTCAATCTACAACCATGTAACAAAGTTATGCAAATAAGAACTACAATATCTGGAAATTTGGGCATAGACCTAAACATAATTTCGATGGAGACAAATATAAGCGAATAATTTTTAATAATTAAAAGACGAGACAAACTGAATCACATATTCCGAGGACTGAGGCACTGGGCCACGACTTTGTTGGGCCTAGCAATATGACCAGTTGAGGGGAAATGGGCACAAGAAATGGATCCTATGACCCATTTTGCTTATTTTGAGCGCACGTCACTACGGCTTCCGCGAAAAGGAAGAAGAAGAATCAAGGGAACAGAAAAAGAAAATTTGTAAAAAAAATAATAATAAATTATCCTTCGTCAGTAAATATCTATCTAGCATAGCTTAGGGTGCTTGGCTAGCTTTATAACAAAAAAAAATCTGTCTGGCTAGCTAGTCGAGCTTTGTCCCTTACTTTGGACGAACAAGATGATTTGGTTATCTAGGAGTGTAAATCGGTATGGTATTGGTATCCCAATATCAAATACCAAAATCGCGAATACTGAACTGCACTGTATAATCAATCTCAATTTCATTCACTAAATATTTCGGTATCCCAATCGGTAGTATCGAATACGATATGAATTACCTTTACAATTAATAATTAAATATATAATTTAGATTTGATTGTTTAATATAGGACAAAGAGACTAAACAAAGAGTTTTGAGTTTGGCTAGAGCTAGGATATGGATAAGGAGAATGGAGTAGATGTGACATATCAAATTTTTGTCATTGGTAATCTTTAATTTGACGAATTAGAGGGTGAGAGAATAGTAATACTAGTGTTTCTTTTTTGGTGTTATGAAAATAACAATAAATTGGTGGTTGAGGATATTGTAGTAGTGAATGAGATAGTGTAGTTGAAAGGATAAAATATACACTAGCGTATATTTCAGAATTGTTCGATATTTACCGATCCCAATTCCATAATCTCTAATACCGAATAAAAATTAAATTAAATCTCAACACTAAAAAATAATACATGCATTCAATAATATCAAATATATACAAATTTGATACTGTATTCAATATATCCAAATACGGGCACCAATCTTCCAACACTATGATTACCAACAAGTTGGCATTGCTGCTGCTTCTTGAAAATATCTACACGGTCCTTGCAGAATTGACGATCGCATCCTGAAAAATCGAACGGCCCAGATCATGCTATTTCTCAGTGCCAGCGCCGGAAACCGTCGAGGAGCCCAAGGGCCAAAAAGGACATCTAAGCCAAAAAGTCACCAAAATGCTACGCTTTCTTAAACCCTCGCCAGCCCTCACTTTCTTCAAACCTTATCCCTCTATACATCTCCCTCCTTCCTTATCTCCGAAACCTCCGTTCCTTCAAAGCCATGGCTGCCACTGCTACAGCTACAGCTACAGCTACGGCTTCCGCTTCAACCCCAATTCTCCCGTCTGTGAACGGGAAGGCCTTGTCTTTCTGCTCCCTCGCCAAACCCACTTCCGTGTTTTTTGCTCTCCCTTCTTCTTCGCTCAAGCTTTCATGTCTCCACTCCTTGGCTCCCCTCCCTCAGATTTTTTCACCTTCCTCTGTTTCCGCTCGCTTTGTGAGGAGGGTTTCGATTTCTTCCGAGTTCGACCAAGAGGAAGGCCTGCTCAGCGACAGCGATGAAGGGACCAGTTTCTCGCCCGCCCTCAAACTGTTCGTCGGGAACCTCCCTTTCAGTTGCGATAGCGCGCAGCTAGCTGAGATTTTTGAGACTGCTGGAAATGTTGAGATGGTTGAGGTAATTTTGGTCGAACTGTTGCGTGTTGCTTTGATTAAGTTGTTTGGATAATGCTGAAATGGCTGTAGATGTTTTAATTCTATCGTCAGAAGTAGCTCTCCTAGTCGATGCCAAATTCTTCGCCTGCTGAAATAGTCGTTGGTGTTCCTCTGACAGGTTATATATGACAAGGTAACTGGAAGAAGCAGGGGGTTTGGATTCGTCACCATGTCCAGTGTTCAGGAGGTTGAAGCTGCTGCTCAGCAATTCAATGGCTATGTGAGTCCAAACATTACGCTATCCATTTGTCAATGTCTATCCCTAGCGCTCCCATAACATCCTGCTAGTAATGACTGCCAATTGTTTGATTTCTACTATGAATACTTGGGTTTGTTTGTCTTCTTAGCGACAGTTTTGGTTAACCTTGCTCACTTCACAGGAACTCGACGGAAGAGCATTGAGAGTGAATGCTGGCCCCCCTCCACCTCGCGAGAGGGACTCACCTTTTGGCAGAGGAAGCAGAGGCGGGGAGTCCGCGTTCGCTAGAGGAGGCAGAGGTGGTGGCGGCGGTGGTTATGGTGGTGGGAGAGATGATGGGGGCAACCGCCTCTACGTAGGGAACCTATCGTGGGGTGTCGATAACTCAGCACTTGAGAGCTTGTTCCGTGAGCAAGGAGATGTTGTGGAAGCTAGGGTTGTTTATGATAGGGAAAGTGGTAGGTCAAGGGGGTTTGGCTTCGTTACATTCAGTTCAGCCGATGACATGAATTCTGCCATGGATTGCTTGAATGGCGCTGTAAGTTTGCTGTTCCTTTCCGCTTTTTTTGTTTGCTTGTTTGGTTGGTTGATTTTCATTCTGATAGATAGGGTACTTTTATGACCTGTATGTGTTCAGTATGTTGCATAAGCGTGATCTCGAGCTCAGATATCATATCAGCAGTCAAGTGCGTTGTTGTTAATTTGTGCTGTCCTTGATTGCTACCTGCGGCATAGTATGTACAGTGATGCTTAATGTTTCCTTATTCGTGGGTCTTGTTTCAATGTTTCAATTGAGCTAGCCCTAGCCGGTGGTTATGCATGCCGAGATTAGTTACATCCACATTGTCGATTCTCTTATTACTTGGCACATGCAATACAAATGTGAACTGATTTTAACAATATGTCGTTCTGGTTCAGGAATTGGATGGGAGACAGATTCGGGTTTCTGTTGCCGAGGCTAGGCCCAAGCGTTTTTGAACATTCAACATTAGCTGCATATCCATCTTTCAGGTACTTGACCCAGCTTGTTGTACTTGGTTCTTCTGTATATGATTGTTGGATTGTGCACAGCAGAACAAGTTGACTGGTCTTTCACTAATCGCCAATCGTGGGCTTGTGCTTCCTTGCTTGTTGCTGATAAACTCAGAATGACTGATGCAGGGAATCAACTTCATCAAGACATTATGGAGTGCCTTGCAACTGGGCTACGTTGGTGAATTTGAAGAGCTGGATGGCATGTTCACTGCCCAGAGGTCGTCAATGCTACCGCTCCAGCTGGTTTGCAAAACGTAGGGTCCTTTTCATTTGTTTTGCGGATACAGGAGCAACATCCCCTAACTTTTGGCTTTGAATCCCTTGATTACTTCATATTAGAAACACGGAATGGAGTCTTTCTACTAGAGTGCTCTCTCTGCTCTTATGCATGACCCAATATTTTTGTCTTCCCAGATGTTTGCGCTTGATTTTAATTTTGGAAGGAATGAATTTTAGTCATCGTTGATGTAGTATTCTTCGGTCGATTGCAGACTCCCACCTAATTGCCATATCCTGATCCAGGTTTTGGCAAGTCGGGTAGTTGGATAGCCAGTATTGAGAATGAGAACCATTCACAATAAGTACCAGTTTTCGAGCCTACAGTAATAACTTAGGCATTGGTGGCTTATATCTCCACTTTGGTTGGAGCTAGATGGTGCAAGTCCTCGTGAATCAACGCTGTGAATGCGCTGCGACGACTGTTCTCCACAAAATACCCTGTGACAATTCCCTTGCACATAACTCGCGCAGCTGCCTCTGGTCGACAAGCAATGAGAATGAGGGTTTGCCAAAGCGGACGAACGTTGTTGGAAACACCTTCAATTGGTGACGGCGAGTAAGTACATACATTGAAGGATTCACCAATCACCACTCATTGCAGACTGCCAGTGCCTAGCAACCATAACCCCATAACGTCCTCGTTGCTCCATCCCTCCGACTGTAGAAAAGATAAGGTCCTCTCACCTAGTGTTGGAAGGACGTCCTCTCAGCGGAGAATATGATATTTGTGTAATGATAATATAGTATACGATTTACAGGAATACATATTCGTTCAACAAGAAAATTGTATTCTTATAATATATTCTTATAAATTCTTTCGTAGTCTGGATATATTAAATTTATGTTGTTGAGATGACTGTGAAATTAACAATTAATTTATTAACTCTAGCAGATTCTCTTAATTGAGTTGGTAAGAAGGGAGAAGGAATCTGGGATATTCCTAGAAGCAAAAGTGGACCTTTTGTGAGTGTTAATCAACAGAAGGGTGATTAAGTGAGTTAAACTTCGTGGATTAGCACTAACTAAGAATCAGATTACTTTTGTTTTTGGCAACAACCATGAAGGGTGTTCAAAGAAGCCTCAATACGTACTACACTCTGGAAGTATCGATTCTACATAATTATACTAGTTATGATAAAAAGTTTTGGCTTCTACATAATTATATTAATATCACTAGCTTTATATCCGCCCGTTGGCCGGTGTGTTTTGCTTGATTGTTCTTTGTTGTTGTATTCTTATTTGTTTATAGTTCATGTAAATTATAATAATATGCATGAAATTGTTAATCTTAATTACCTTATTTCAATTATTGTTTCACACGTTTTTATCTATTGTTTATTTATTAAAAATGTTAATTTTTCTAAATTAACTATTTGTAGACCTTTTGTTTATTGATTTATAATTTGGTATCGAAACTGCTGCATAAGACATAAGTATTGAATGTAAGAATTATAAAAATAACTATATCACACGTTGATTTATTATCGGACTCATAGAGAATATTACAATCTAAATTTTTTTGTATATCATGCAACATTAGTTGTCTTTACACTTTTGGAAGAGAGGAACCACATTTTCATCTACATCGTCTATCTTCAGCTTACTCATTTAATTTACCTTGAAAATATTTAACAAAACCAACAACAAAACTAACTATCAGTTGCAAAATAAAAAAAAAAACATAGAACAATATATTCAGCAAACCAAACCACTTATACACACAATTTATATTTATTAGAGAGCTACAAATTCCTTGCGCTTTTTTATCTAATATTCGCAGAGATAAATCATGGAAGTCGCAAACTTCAATACAACCCAGATCATTCTATCTTGCGTAGTCTCCATTCATGAACCGGGTTTAATGCATCAATCAACTTCAAACAATAGTAGATAAGAAAATAGTTAGGCCAAAGTCAAAGCTTTAATTAGGGATTCAATTAGGCCAAAATCAACACTAAGAATATAAACAATTGTCATTGAAAATGTGTAGAAATTTAAAGAACATCGACACAGACAACCTAGAGATCACCACCACCATTTTTTCTTCATCACCTTTAAAAATCCCACATATATTTCCTTCTATTTATAACCCCACTGCTACATACTACTCACTTATCGTATCATCATTATATGGCTAGGTAGTAGCATTTTTCTCTTGAACATAACAAACATAAACAAACATCCTCTGATGGAATTTGACAAGATGACAACCCTCATAACTCTGTTTTCCATTTAGCATCCAAGGAATCATGTTGTAAAAGTGTTCCTTCGGGGAGGCCAAGGGCCGAGGGAAATAAATTATAAAAGTCAAAACTTCAAATTAATTTCATCACCCTCCAAAAGTGAAACCCAAAAAAGGTAAAGCGAGAAGCTCGCTCAAATTTCCCTCCTATAGCACATGGAGCGGTTTTAGGATGAGCAGCACAAAATTTGTGCTAACGGGTATTACGGGTACCCGTATTACCCAAACGGGTATTAACGGGTAACTCGTGGGTACCCGTTGTAGAAATTATAAATCCCAAGTCCCATCCCGTTAGAAAAAAACGGGTATTTGGGTACCCGTAACCCTAAAAAAATGGGACGGGTATGGGTATACCCAAATACCCGTTTCCCGTTGCCTACCCCTAATTTATACATCTACCTTTATTTGCTTGATGATGCATACATGTCTAACCATAGAACTCCATACCCAGCCTAGAAGCATAAAGTAGGCTAATAGAGAGGATTAGGGTGACTTACCCAAACACAATCAATGATAGAGTAGCAATAGAATCACCTAGATAAACACATTCATTCATTCAAACCCTAGAATATCCCATACATACATAGTAAACCCTGAAACTAGGGTTTGGGGTTTAGAAACCCTAGTACGTTAGAGAACTACTCCATAAAGGAGGAAAGATGATACATAGAAGAGTTGGAAGAAGACTTGATGTTGAGGAAGATGCATCCTCTCCTCTAGCTCCCTCTCCTTCTTCTCCTCTTCTCCTTCCTTCAGCTTCACTCTCTTCTCACTCTCTAAAACCATAAATCTTCTCTCAAAATTAGCTCCCTTAAAAGGGGGAAAGGGGTCTTCTATTTATGGGCAATTAAGGGACAGAGAAATTCGCAGCTGGCAATGCAGAGATCGCGGGCAGGATCTTCAATGGCAAGGTCAGGATGTTGCAACGCAATTGTATGGGCCTTCGGGGTCGAGGATATTGCGGGCTGACTTCATGGCCGCAATCTTCCTCGCTGTCAAAATACACTATGGCCGTGATTCAACTGGGGAAACTTTCTATTTCTCCTCGTCTCCTTCTTCTCGAAGTTCGTGCCTTGAGAACTCAAATTCACGGCCACGATCCTCAGCTTGACTTCGTGGTCCATGATCTCGGTTGTGATCTTCTCTTCTAGGCCACAATCTTCAGTCTTCTGTCCCCTTGCTATACTTGTGACCTTGTTTTGTAACTAATTCGCAATTATCGTCTAACACACCCTAAAATCACATCGAATTCAAATAGGAACGAAATAGGAATGCAATTAACGATTTTCAAGCAATTATGCATATGAATTGGCATGAAACAAACCTCAATCTGTAGGCTAAATAATACCAATTTAGGTGTTATCACTCTCCTGCCTCCACTCTCCTTTCGTGCCTTGTCTGGACAAGACTAATGGTCTAAAAAAATGGCCATTGGAGCTGAGGGCGGAAGATCTGGTTCGTCGAAATATGACAAATATGAGATCTGGTCGAACAAATTCCTTTTCAATATGATTCTGGGGGAGCTAGCAAACAATTTAATACCCACTCCATTTTCCTGTGATATTTGGGATATGGATTTGATTATAGGGTTATGGGGTATCTGGCAATTGGGGGAATAAGGTGGGGTGGTGGTGAATCTTTTCCCTCCATGGCACCAGCGATTTCTAGCTTGAGTTCATAGTGGGAATGAAACTTCGATCGTGTTTACGACATTATCGAGGATGAAGGAAGGGTCAGCTTCGAGGAACAATGCAGGCAAAATCGCGATTCTATGCAGAAACGTTTTGGTGTACTAGAAGCGTTAAAACAATATCTTTTAAGCTTTAAAGCGTAGATTTTAACTACAATTGTAAGTGAAAAACTTGATTCTATGTAGAAGCGTTTTGGTGATCTATAAGTGTAAAGCGAAAGCTTTTAAGTTTCAGAAAATGCAATTTTGACTACATTGTCGAGGACAACCAGTTTACAACAATGCTGGAGCTTTTGGAAGAGTAGGAGAAGCTGAGGAAAGACAACAAGGGGAGCTCTGAACAACTCTTCCACTTCCTCTGTTGTTGTTGATTTCCTCTGCCTCCAAATCTGATGCCCTCGTGTCTTTGGTGATCGTGTTGTGGCAGAGGATATTAAACTCGTTGAAGTCAGCCAAATTGTCGCCGATGAAATCTACCTCACCACCTCTCCTCCACCTTTGTCTTTGTTAATGATAAGAGATTGGAAACAAAAGTTTGATTTACAATAGTCAGCGACTGCAGCTCATGCTTTATGATGAACTTGGTGTTATTCTGGTCGAACTTCGCGAACACGCCATTCTTGTCGAATGTCACGAACACGCTCAACATCTCCCTGTCTGCCTCTTCATTTGTCTCCTTACCACGAGCAGCTGGATGAGGGGCGAGTTTTTCTTTGCTTATCAAGGTTTGCTACGATGCAAAGGAGGATCGAATTTGAGTTGGAAGAAGAAGACAAATGGAGGACCACTCTTCTTAGTATCATTTTTTAAAATTATTTAATTTTAATTTTGATGGAATTGGGTGGTTTAGTGTATTGGTTCGAGTTGCAACGTTGGGTTAGTTGTTGTTCTGACTTGTCGGGTTTAATGACATGGTGGGTTTGATTTTACTTTTTCTAGGTTAAATTTTGTAACTATTCATTTATATTAGCCAAGTTAGCATAAAATGACACATTTAACGGAGACTAAGCAAAGGTAATGGTTAGTGACCAAACTTGGACTGTTGAACAATCTAAGTGACCACGAATGGAATAAAATATTTTTAGTGGAAAACGTGAAACAATTTAGTAAATCCATGAAAAAATTGAAATTTACCCACAAAATAAATAAAAATTTCCAAGTTCATAGGGGAAACTAGATCCATGTTTGGTGTTTGTGATTTTTATAATTCATGTATTATGGAATGATTTCATTATAAATTGGTGTATCGCTTAAATGGATATTTTAAAATTACAATGTTTGGTGTTTGTGTTTGTAGTTTATAGAATGAAATCAATAAAGATATTTTTTTAAGGTACATACATATATAACCTTCCTTTTGTTTGTATATACAAGACCAACAAGTCTTCCTTTTGTATATTCCTATC